AAGCTAATTTATTAAATGATATTTTGTAATGTTACTCGTGTAGATGACAGAAATCCTGCGGTTCCTCTCATCGAGCCAAAAACTGACAAGAGTTTTAGGTACATTGAGTTAATAATAATGAAATACGAGATATTTTACAGATATTGAAGCTTGGTAAGGCCTCGGGTGAGGGCGGAATCAGTCACCATATGCTAAGAAACACATCAGAAACAGTTTGTGTTCCCCTTGAAATCATTTTTAATAAGTCTTTATCGTCTGGTGTTTACCCAATCTCTTGGAAAACAGCCAAAGTTATGCCACTGTTTAAAAAAGGTGACGGGCATTCTCCCTCTAACTACAGGCCAATTTCTTTATTACCTACAGCTGTAAAAGTGTTTGAAAGGGTAATTTTCAAATACTTGCATAATTGTGTTATTGAAAGCTCACTTTTTTATAAGCACCAGTCTGGTTTTTTGCCTGGTCATTCTACTGTATATCAGCTCATTGAAATTTATCATAACATCTGTATTGCTCTAGAAGAAGAAAAAAACATTTATGTATGGTATTCTGCGATATTTCTAAGGCTTTTGATAGGGTTTGGCATAGGGGTTTGATGATTAAGTTAAAATCCTATGGAATTTCAAGGGAATTGTAAACTTGGTTGGAAATTACCTATTTCAGCGGCACCAGAGAGTCTTTTTGAATACTTCCTACTCCGACTTAGGTTTCATTGAAGCAGGTGTTCCTCAGGGTTCGATTCTTGGACCTCTTTTGTTTCTTATCTATATTAATGGTATTGCTGATGTGTTTGAATCAACCTCTCGTCTTTTTGCAGACGATACTTCTTTGTTAAAATCATCCTCTTTATATCTAGAAATCCAAACGGTAATGAATAGAGATATCGAGTCTCTTAATGCATGGTCCCAAACTTGGTTAGTAACATTCAATCCAGAAAAAACTGAGGTAATTTTTGTTTCAAACTTGGTTGAAATTGATGAAGGTTTACAATTAGAATTTAATGGCGAATTTTTAAAGTTTACTGATCATCCTAAACATTTTTTAATTCAAGTGCAAAATGGGGGTATCATATTTGTGCAATATATACTTCAGTTATGAAAAAAGTCAACGTCTTACGTAGACTAAAATACTTATTAAATCGTGATAATCTTTTAAAGATTTATAAATCATTTATTTTACCAGTTTTAGAATATACTTGTGAATTGTGGGATGGTTGTACAACTTATGAAACAGAAATGTTAGAGAAAGCCCAAAGAGAAGCTTCTCGTATTATAACTGGTCTTCCTTAATATGCCCGAATTGAAGACTTACTTTTTGAAACTGGTCTAGAAACTCTTCCGAATAGAAGAAAACGCAGAAAACTCAAACTTTGGTATAAAATGCACAACAAACTAACTCCAGACTATTTAAATTCTCTATTGCCATCTTTCGTTGCAGAAAATAACTGTTACACCCTTAGAAATAATGATGATTATATAATTCGTCCTTTCAGGCTTTCTCTAACAAATTCATCTTTTATACCTTCAACTCTTCGCGGTTGGAATGCATTGGAACTTTCAGTACGATCATTGACCTCATTATATTCTTTAAAAAACTCGTTAACTTCAAATGTACAATCTCCTCCACCAATCTACTTAGGTTTCGGTGAACGTAAAGTTTGCACACTAAACTTAGACACCAGTGTAGTCCACTTAAATATGTTACAATAGAGTAAATCTGGTTGATAGTCCAGTTTGTTATTGTGACCATCCCTGTGAAAATGCCTTTCATTTTTTTTGTGAGTGCTTACTTTTAAACAACGAAAAAACATACCCTGCTCCAAAATTGGAATGCCTTGCATGTTGATTTTAATTTAGAACTACTTTTGTTTGGTAATACAGTCGAACCTCGTTATCTCGAATTCTTTTAACTCGAAGACCCCGTTTATCTCGAAGTATTTATCCGGTCCCGGCCAAATCTGTTCTTTATCTTAGTAAATAAAACTCTGATAATTCGAACCCTGAAAAGTCGAAAAACTCGGATACCTCGAAGAAAAATATTGGTTTCAATAGCGTTAATCCAACGTAGTATCCAAATTTCATTTTGTCACTTGTTAATTCTTTGATACAAATAAAATGCAAAAGTACGACATTTCGCCATTCCGTGTTTATGAACATCTTTCGTAAGTAGACTAGCATGAAATCAGTAAAAAAGAATTTACGATAAAG